TAGTAATAGTCTTAAGTTGTCTGAATTTCTTAGATGAAGCCTTGGCAATTATTATTCATTTTTGTCTAGTATTTCTTTCATCTTATTTCTCTTGCCTTTCCACCAAGTAGTAATAGTCTTAAGTTGTCTGAATTTCTTAGATGAAGCCTTGGCAAATATTATTCATTTTTGTCTAGTATTTCTTTCATCTTATTTCTCTTGCCTTTCCACCAAGTAGTAATAGTCTTAAGTTGTCTGAATTTCTTAGATGAAGCCTTGTCAATTATTATTCATTTTTGTCTAGTATTTCTTTCATCTTATTTCTCTTGCCTTTCCACCAAGTAGTAATAGTCTTAAGTTGTCTGAATTTCTTAGATGAAGCCTTGGCAATTATTATTCATTTTTGTCTAGTATTTCTTTCATCTTATTTCTCTTGCCTTTCCACCAAGTAGTAATAGTCTTAAATTTGTCTGAATTTCTTAGATGTAATCCTTGGCAAATATTATTCATTTTGAATTTCTTAGTGAAGCCTTTCTTTTATCTTTTTCTTTCTTTCCTTTCCACCAAGTAGTAATAGTCTTAAGTTGTCTGAATTTCTTAGATGAAGCCTTGGCAATTATTATTCATTTTTGTCTAGTATTTCTTTCATCTTATTTCTCTTGCCTTTCCACCAAGTAGTAATAGTCTTAAGTTGTCTGAATTTCTTAGATGAAGCCTTGTCAATTATTATTCATTTTTGTCTAGTATTTCTTTCATCTTATTTCTCTTGCCTTTCCACCAAGTAGTAATAGTCTTAAGTTGTTTCTGAATTTCAAATATTATTCATTTTGTCTAGTATTTCTTTCATCTTATTTCTCTTGCCTTTCCACCAAGTAGTAATAGTCTTAAGTCAATTTTTAGATGTTGGCAAATTATTATTCATTTTGTATTTTCTTTCATCTTATTTCTCTTGCCTTTCCACCAAGTAGTAATAGTCTTAAGTTGTCTGAATTTCTTAGATGAAGCCTTGGCAATTATTATTCATTTTTTGTCTAGTATTTCTTTCATCTTATTTCTCTTGCCTTTCCACCAAGTAGTAATAGTCTTAAGTTGTCTGAATTTCTTAGATGAAGCCTTGGCAAATATTATTCAATTTTGTCTAGTATTTCTTTCATTTATTTCTCTTGCCTTTTCCACCAAGTAGTAATAGTCTTAAGTTGTCTGAATTTCTTAGATGAAGCCTTGTCAATTATTATTCATTTTGTCTAGTATTTCTTTCATCTTATTTCTCTTGCCTTTCCACCAAGTAGTAATAGTCTTAAGTTGTCTGAATTTCTTAGATGAAGCCTTGGCAAATATTATTCATTTTTGTCTAGTATTTCTTTCATCTTATTTCTCTTGCCTTTCCACCAAGTAGTAATAGTCTTAAGTTGTCTGAATTTCTTAGATGAAGCCTTGGCAATTATTATTCATTTTTGTCTAGTATTTCTTTCATCTTATTTCTCTTGCCTTTCCACCAAGTAGTAATAGTCTTAAGTTGTCTGAATTTCTTAGATGAAGCCTTGTCAATTATTATTCATTTTTCACTAGTATTTCTTTCATCTTATTTCTTTTGCCTTTCCACCAAGTAGTAATAGTCTTAAGTTGTCTGAATTTCTTAGATGAAGCCTTTGTAATATTATTCATTTTTGTCTAGTATTTCTTTCATCTTATTTCCTTGCCTTTCCACCAAGTATTAGTCTTTTTCTGAATTTCTTAGATGAAGCCTTGTCAATTATTATTCATTTTTGTCTAGTATTTCTTTTCTTATTTCTCTTGCCTTTCCACCAAGTAGTAATAGTCTTAAGTTGTCTGAATTTCTTAGATGAAGCCTTGTCAATTATTATTCATTTTTGTCTAGTATTTCTTTCATCTTATTTCTCTTGCTTTTCCACCATGTAGTAATAGTCTTAAGTTGTCTGAATTTCTTAGATGAAGCCTTGGCAATTATTATTCATTTTTGTCTAGTATTTCTTTCATCTTATTTCTCTTGCTTTTCCACCAAGTAGTAATAGTCTTAAGTTGTCTGAATTTCTTAGATGAAGCCTTGTCAATTATTATTCATTTTTTGTCTAGTATTTCTTTCATCTTATTTCTCTTGCTTTTCCACCAAGTAGTAATAGTCTTAAGTTGTCTGAATTTCTTAGATGAAGCCTTGGCAATTATTATTCATTTTTGTCTAGTATTTCTTTCATCTTATTTCTCTTGCTTTTCCACCAAGTAGTAATAGTCTTAAGTTGTCTGAATTTCTTAGATGAAGCCTTGTCAATTATTATTCATTTTTGTCTAGTATTTCTTTCATCTTATTTCTCTTTTCTTTTCCACCAAGTAGTAATAGTCTTAAGTTGTCTGAATTTCTTTGATGAAGCCTGGTCAATTATTATTCATTTTTAGATGTCTAGTATTTCTTTCATCTTATTTCTCTTGCTTTTCCACCAAGTAGTAATAGTCTTAAGTTGTCTGAATTTCTTAGATGAAGCCTTGGCAATTATTATTCATTTTTGTCTAGTATTTCTTTCATCTTATTTCTCTTGCTTTTCCACCAAGTAGTAATAGTCTTAAGTTGTCTGAATTTCTTAGATGAAGCCTTGGCAATTATTATTCATTTTTGTCTAGTATTTCTTTCATCTTATTTCTCTTGCTTTTCCACCAAGTAGTAATAGTCTTAAGTTGTCTGAATTTTTAGATGAAGCCTTGGCAATTATTATTCATTTTTGTCTAGTATTTCTTTCATCTTATTTCTCTTGCTTTTCCACCAAGTAGTAATAGTCTTAAGTTGTCTGAATTTCTTAGATGAAGCCTTGGCAATTATTATTCATTTTGTCTAGTATTTCTTTCATCTTATTTCTCTTGCTTTTCCAACAAATAGTAATAGTCTTTTGTCTGAATTTCTTAGATGAATTATTATTCATTTTTGTCTAGTAAATCTAATCATCTTATTTCTCTTGCCTTTCCACCAAAGTAATATTTTTGTCTGAATTTCTTAGATGAAGCCTTGTCAATTAAATTCATTTTTGTCTAGTATTTCTTTCCTTATTTCTCTTGCCTTTCCACTAATTTTAAGTTGTCTGAATTTCTTAATGAAGGAATTATCATTCATTTTTGTCAACAATTTCTTTCATTTATTTCTCTTGAACCAAGTAGTAATAGTCTTAAGTTGTTTTTTCTTAGATGAAGCTTCAAGCCTTTTGACATTTTTGTCAGTATTTCTTTCATATTTCTTTTGCTATTCCACCAAAATGAATTAAAACACATAAATTTATTTCAACAAATGTAAACATTGCTTGAATAATTAATTTTAAAAAATTTTTTAAACAAATTATTTTTTATTTCGATAATTCCAGAAAATTATTTTTATCCATTTGACTAATTTGTCATAATGTGGAATATCAGATGACAACAATGCTTATTATGAATTTAGGTTTTAAATGAAAATTTTGACATGGCAATATCCTATACAAAATGAATTAAAAACACATAAATTATCAAAAGAAACATTGCTTAAATAATAAATTTTTTGCCAATGTATTTTTAGGGTGAATTGTTTATATACATTCTATAATGGTACTCTTGAATTTGTTTTTTAAATGAAACTAGCCAAACATCCGTCATACAAGAGAAAAAAAAAACAAATTATAATTGAAGTTTTCTTTTACATTTCTGTGTAACCAACATTTTCAATCAGACATCTATTTTATAAAGTTCTTTTGATCATTTTTCTAAGTCCATTTGAATTTTCTATTCTGGACATATCTACATAGAGGGGATCATGAAAAAAACCTACCATTTTCTAATGTTTATAATAATAATTCATTTATTAATTCAACAAACTTACTATTTTTTCACTTGTTTAAATAATTTGGTACAGTTTTAAGAAAAATTTTCTTAGAAATAAAGAAGATAGTACTGAACTGTTATGCAATATCTGTCCTCCTATATGGTACTGAATGCTGAACAATTTCCTCACAGATGAAGAAGAGACTTGAAGCAATGGATGTAGTTCTATAGAAGGATGCTGAGAATACCATAGACCAAAACATGTGGACAACAACAAAGTTTTAGAGAAAATGGAAACAAAATGTACACTTATACTTAACGTCCGGAAGAGACAGTTGAAATTTCTATGGCACATAATGAAGGGCTTGGAAAATTTAATATTCATAGGACAGATTGAAGGCAAGAAGGACAGAAAAACAATGCATAATCTACCTACAAATTATCTATGACGGAATCTAAAATTTAGTATGCACAACAAGTCTTTGTGTATTGGTAAACATTCATGGTATTTACTAGTCACCCCATGGTAACAAGATGTGACAAAAGGTCAGTTTCATGTGAGGCACCTAAGTGCATACACCCATAATATTCATAAAAAACTGGTAAACATTCATTACGTGTTTACAACATTCACTTGGTGTTTACAACGTAAGCGGTAATATTTAATTTGCATAATAATTTTTAAAAGCAGGTTTTAATATTTCTTTCTTCAATTTATTTTAAATTTAAAAAATTACCAAATATAGGCAATGTTTCTATCAACAAAGTCTTTTTTTTAAATTCATCAAGTTTTTATATAAAGAATTTGTATAAAACCTTGTCAAAATTCAGTTGTAAGTTAGAAAACCAACAGCATTCATAATAAGCATTGTTGTCATCTGAAATTTCCCATTACTACAAATTAATCAAATGGAGCCAAAAAATTTTTTTATGGAATTATCTAAATAAGTCAATTTTTAAAAAATCTACTGAATTATTTAAAAATGTGAAAAAAAAAAAGAAAAAAGAAAAGTAAGTTTCCTAAATTTATTTAGGCTGTTTTGTTCTTCTGATGTCAGGTGAGGACACACAGGTGTATTTACCCGGCCTCACCTCTAAGGCAGGATGTGACACAATGTTGATTTCATGTGGGGAGCCCATACAAATACGTAGGCATATGAACTAAAGACAAAAAATGGCCAGTTCCCATGGCCAGAGTCAGAGAAAAATGTAGCTTTTACACAAATTTATAAAAGTTCTTTATCTTTTACTGAAGGAGAAAGAAGAGAGAAGGGGAAAGGAGAACGAAGGGGAAGGAGAGAAAGGATGGAAAAGAAAAAAGAAAAGAGAAAGGATGGAAAAGAAAAAAGAAAAGAGAAAGGATGGAAAAGAAAAAAGAAAAGAGAAAGGGTGGAAAAGAAAAAGAAAAAGAAAAGATGGAAAAGAAAAAAAAGAAAAGAGAAAGGATGGAAAAGAAAAAAGAAAAGAGAAAGGATGGAAAAGAAAAAAGAAAAGAGAAAGGATGGAAAAGAAAAAAGAAAAGAGAAAGGATGGAAAAGAAAAAAGAAAAGAGAAAGGGTGGAAAAGAAAAAAGAAAAGAGAAAGGATGGAAAAGAAAAAAGAAAAGAGAAAGGATGGAAAAGAAAAAAGAAAAGAGAAAGGATGGAAAAGAAAAGAAAAGGGAAAGGATTGAAAAGAAAAGAAAAGGGAAAGGATGGAAAAGAAAAGGGAAAGGATGGAAAAGAAAAGAGAAAGGATGGAAAAGAAAAGAGGAAAAAAACGGTAGAATGCCTGTGACACTTTACAGTTTTAAATTTAAATTTTGACATCCAATGCATCTAAACGACTTAACCTGTCTTATTCAGCATTTTAGTGCTTTTATTTTTTTCTTTGACTTTTTTGTAATCATAATCAAAGCTGTCATGTGCATGTGATGTGTTTCTCCCTGCCCCCATCTCACCCCTTTCATATGTAAGACAAATAATGTTTTTTTTTTATTATTGGTGGAATTACTCTCTACAGTTCCTTCTCAGAACAAAATGGATCAATCAGAATGCATTTTCAAGGATGTGCCTAATTTATAAATTCATAGATCTGAATGTATAGGAAAAACTAGAGAGTTTTGTACTATCCACAGTTATAGTGAACTTTTGGTGTTCCTGGAACATATTCCCCACAGATAAGATGCATGAAACTGCATGTATATGTTTTTTCCTATCCATCCAGGCCTATGATAAAGTTTCATTTATAAATTAGGCCCAATAAAAGATTAACAATAATAACTAATAATAAAAGAGACCAATTCTAACAATATGTTCCAAGACCCCCAGCAGATGCCTGAAACTGTGGCTAGTACCAAACCCTATATATACTATGCTTTTTCCCATCCATCCAGACCTATGATAAAGTTTCATTTATAAATTAGGACCAATAAGAGATTAACAATAATAACTAATAATAAAAGAGACCAATTCTAACAATATGTTCCAAGACACCCAGCAGATGCCTGAAACTGTGGATATATTATATATATATATATATATATATATATATATATATATATATACATATACACACACACACACACACACACACACACACACACACACACACACACACAGTGGTTCCCAGAAGTCACACACCAACAGTGAAAAAGTAAACAAAGGTATGAAACCCTCAAAAGAGTGAAAGTCAGTTTGATGAAAAGAATTGATGCCCGTTTTATTGCAAGGGGTGCACAATTTGAGCATCTATTCTGATTATGATTAATAAAGTCTTTTTTTTCTTTAATATGTTTTTTTCATGAAAACCTGGATGGTGCGTGACTTCTGAGACCTCTTGTATAGTACAGGTAATAAATTTGTTGGTATAAGTGGATCCTAATAATATAAAACATTAAAACTGATCCGCAAAAAGAGCTCATGGTATTTCTTATAACAGAGCGTATAAATTACATAACAGAGAAATCCAAAATTACCTCATGTGTTTTAAAAATGTTGGTATTAACTTCAAATACCAATCAACTCCAATGGGACTCTACTCTTTTATATATATATATATATATATATATATATATATATATATAAACAGAGTAGAGTCCCATTGGAATTGATTGGTATTTGAAGTTAATCTAACATTTTTAAAAACATATGAGGTAATTTTGATTTCTCTGTTATAATATATATATATATATATATATATATATATATATACATACATACATACACACACAAATAAAAGGCTGAAACACTAATATTCCATGGTTATAATTTATTACATTGGAATCATAATCACGATCCAATTCAGACCTACAAATTTTATATATATATATATATATATTAGACTGACCTATAATAAAGTTTACTTTATAAATTAGGAAAATAAGAGATTAACAAGAATTAATAAAACAAGAATTATCACAATATTATATTGTAAGTTATGTGATGCATGGAAAATTTGTTCTTGCTACTATAGGTTTAAACAACCTTAGAATGTAACTTTTTTTTTTTCTTTCTTTAATTAAATAGAACATTTTTTGCTGTAAGGAAGAACTTTACACTAGTGCAGCTTCTTCCAAATTGACAGCTTCTTTTACTTAAGATTCATTATGAAGTAAAACTTATGAATTACATATTTCTCTGGGGTTGAGTGGAGATGGGGTAGGATAAGTGTAGCTTTCAGTCAGAATGGAGAAGAGGAGGAGACATCAGAGAGTGAGTGAGAGTGATTCAAGAGTTAGAGAATGTTATGAATTAGTGAAAATGTACTGAATACATCATAAACCAGTGTTTTCTGATGTGGGTGCTTAAAAGTTTCCAAATATTTCAAATGTATGGAAGATTGTATACATGGGCTTGAAGGGTTTTTTTTTTCTTTCATTTATCTGCATTTAAGTGAGGGGGGGGAGAAAGAATGAGAGAGGGGAGAAAGAATGTGAGAGAGAGAGAGAGGGGAGAAAGAATGTGAGAGAGAGAGAGAGGAGAATGAAAGAGAGAGAGGGGAGAAAGAAAGAGAGAGAGAGGGGAGAAAGAAAGAGAGAGAGAGGGGAGAAAGAAAGAGAGAGAGGGGAGAAAGAAAGAGAGAGAAGAAAGAAAGAGAGAGGGGAGAGAAAGAAAGAGAGAGAGGGAAGAAAGAAAGAGGGGGAAAGAAAGAATGAAAGAGAGAGGGGAGAAAGAAAGAGAGAGAGGGGAGAAAGAAAGAATGAAAGAGAGAGAGGGGAGAAAGAAAGAATGAAAGAGAGAGAGGGGAGAAAGAATGAATGAAAGAGAGAGAGGGGAGAAAGAATGAATGAAAGAGAGAGAGGGGAGAAAGAATGAATGAAAGAGAGAGGGGAGAAAGAATGAATGAAAGAGAGAGAGGGGAGAAAGAATGAATGAAAGAGAGAGAGGGGAGAAAGAATGAATGAAAGAGAGAGAGGGGAGAAAGAATGAATGAAAGAGAGAGAGGGGAGAAAGAATGAATGAAAGAGAGAGAAGGGAGAAAGAATGAATGAAAGAGAGAGAAGGGAGAAAGAATGAATGAAAGAGAGAGAGAGAGAAACACAGGGAGAGAGAGGGGAAAAAGAATAAATAAAACAAAGAAAACCAGGCACCCTGTGACATTTTTCTACAAACACAGCTGTCAAGGATTCAAAACTAAAACTTCCAGACAGTGAAGGTCAGAGGGAGGAGGAAGAGGAGAGAAACAACGAGCAGCAGCAGCAGCAGCAGCAGCAGCAGCAGGGCTGCCATCTTTTCACAGTTGGTCTCCAGGGCAGCAAGTTGAAGAAGAACAAAGAAACAAATTCAGCCGTCTGCCGAGAGTTGAGTTGAATTTGTGGTGTGTGTGTGTGTGTGTGTGTGTGTGTGTGTGTGTTGGAGGGGGGCGATAGGGAGAGGAAAAAGTGGAGACTGGGGAGGAAAAGATGAAAAAGAAATCTGTAAGGAAAAATGAAAAAGAAATGGAACTATAGAGTTAGAGAAGAATAATTGAAAATGCCGGGACAAAAAAAAGTGAATTAAAATGACAGGTAGATAAATAATAAACATATTCAGAGAGAAAGATGTATAGTAGACAGAGGAAAGAAGAAAAGAGACAGACAGACGCACTCTGTTTTATATATAAGACACCAGAGAGAGAGAGAGAGAGAGGGTATGAGGGACAAATGGGTAGACACCGGAGGGAGGGATAAAGGTGTAGACACCAGAGAGAGAGAAAGAGAGAGTGTGAGGGAGGTACAGACATGAGAGAGAGAGAGAGAGAGAGTGTGTGTGTGTGTGTGTGTGTGTGGGAGGTGCAGACACCAGAGAGAGGGGGAGGGAGGTGCAGACACCAGAGAGAGTGAGAGAGGTGCAGACACCAGAGAGAGTGAGAGAGGTGCAGACACCAGAGAGAGTGAGAGAGAGATAGGTACAAACACCAGACAGAGTAAAAAGAAAACCATTCAAGCCCAGACCAGAGAGAGAGACATACACCCTTGCACCCAAACAGAAAAGCAAAACAAAACACACAAACTAAAAAGATAGAGAGAGGTGGGGATATACTCAAACTGATAAAATGAAGAGAGGGTGACACAAACTGACAAGAGAGAGAGAGAGAGAGACGCTCTGCATCAAAGAATGCATGTCCTGCAAATTCTAAGAAAAAACCAAAATGCACGAGAGAAAAAATATTTAACGTTAACTTTTAAATTTTTACCCCCTCCAAGTATTTTTAATTTTCTGTTGATTTAACAAAAGTGCAATGCAAAACAGCAACTCTATCCTCCCAGCCAACCCTATACAGCCAAAAAGAATACCTCTTCAAACTTCAATCATGATGCACTTTTTTTTCAAAGGGATTTCTTTGTATGCAGCTGCTTGCAACGAGATAAAGAACTTGTCTTCAATAACTTAATAAAATATCAATGCAATTTCTTAAGCTTTTCCCTTCTTTTTTTTTTTCTTTGTTTTGTCCCTTCTCCTACTGAGCTTTCACCTACCTTAAACATTAATAGGAGACCCCAAAACTGCTGCTACTACTAGCTCAGACCTTTGCAGACCAAACCTACCTTGCTATATCCACAGTGTTGAATCACCCTCATTTCCTCTATATTCCTTTGATAAGAAGAATATTATACTCAAAAAGCTTCTTCCCAAGAACTGCTTTGTGGAACAGACTCCAAAGTGGATGAACTAATTTTAATACTAACTACTAATCATACATAGTAGCTAAGAATAAATTTAGAGTACACTAACATACCTTAGTTTTTGTATGGCAATGGCAGCATACACAGGGGATGAAAGGTAAAAAAAAGCTGTTCTCCACCATGTGAAAAGTCTGAGCAGACCTTAGTTACAGTTATTATCTAGCGTGATCAACAATTTGAACAAGGCCAGCACGCTCAAGCCCTCGGCCATGATGACTTGTGGCTTCATGCTAGCACAGCTTTCAACAGCCCACAAGAGTTCCGTCTACCAAATTTCACTCACAAGGCTTGGGTCAACATGTGGTATGGTTTTCAGGGACTTTCCAAAGGTGCCACACGCGGGGATGAACCTTGATCCAGTCCAATATCATCAGGAAGTCACTTTCCTGACAAATCGACCATGGTAAGATTCGAACCTGGGTTCAGAAAGCGAACGTTCTAACCATTCGGCCATGAGATCAGAAAGCGAACGTTCTAACCATTCGGCCATGCACCCATTGCCAAACCGACCAACCAGTTGCCAAACCGACCAACCAGTTGCCAAACCGACCAACCAGTTGGCCGGTTTGGCAATTTCTGTTTCAGTATTGGTTTCTTCCCCCCCCCCCTTGATACTACGATTTTCGATTCGGTTTTTAATTTAGTATTTTCGCTTTCTAAGAAAGCCATTCATTTTCTTGTGTAATGATAACATTTCCAGTCGATATCTGATTTCGTTTGACATTGATAAATTTGTAACTCGCAAATTCTTGTATTTCTGATCCAATAAAAATATTCATAAGACTGGAAAGAAAATGATAATTTGTATGTGCTTATATTCGTTGAATTATATATTTTTACAGCGAGTTAAAACGGTATTTTGCTTCGAACATCCGAAAATGCGAAAAATATGATTTTTTTTTTTTAGACTAAATTTTACGTTACTTTGTTTCGCAAAATCAATTTGACAAATCTTTATCAATATTCTTAAAATTGTACACTCAATCTAATTTAGAAAACACCTTAAGCTACAACCAGGAAAGATGTTTATTTCTTCTCTGACCCGTGAAAGCGAATTCCTTGCAAAGAAAAAAAAAATTAACTGATAGTATGTGTGGTAAAAGAACTTTCAAATTATTCAAACTACTGATTGTCGCGTAAAAATAAACCCCCTTATACTTTTTAACTTTCGAGTGTTGTTTTTTCAAACGTCTATCATTGTGGAAGTCTGTTAACTGGTGCGTAAGGGATCAATATATTTGGTTTTATAGGTAATAAAAATTTATGGACATGCGTTAAAGACCACTGGATTTGAAAACCCGAAAACCGTGAATCAGAGTGGGTAATAAAATAGGAATTGTTCACCTAAGTCAGTTTTTAGGCTTTAAAGGTAATTTAATCATAGAATTAATTGCATATTATTAATTAGAATTAATATTTATTAATAAATTGGTAAAATGCGAAAAAAATCGTCGCATACTGTGTCTTCGGACAACACATTTTTGAGATAGAAAATAAAATAATGGTACAGCTCTCCAGAAATTAGTTTATGATGTATAAAAAGCCAAAAAATGAAACCCCTCGTGTTAAAATTATTAAAAATACGGTAATTAATTCTTTTCTGGTACGCCAGTCGACTGTTATTGGGGTTTTACAAATAAATTTCTTCTAAACAAGCAAAATCAATATTTTCCCCTAGATAAATGTTTTGTTTTTTTTTGTTTATCTAGCGAATACTACACCTAAAATTAGATATTCAAAATAATTAAAAGCTTTTAATTTCATTTTTATGTGTTTATTTCCAAATCAGCGAGTAGCACCTGTTCTTTACACATTTTAAAACTGAATATAAAAACTATTTTAATCATTTTAATCTTAAGTGTATTCGCTAGATAAAAAACCATAAGGATATTTATTTGTAAAAATAAAATGAATTTTCCTTGTTTAGAAGAATTTTATAGACAGAACACCCACTGAATACTAGTGGCTAAAAAAGAATAATTTTTACCTTGGGTTTAAAATAATAAAACAAAATGACTTGCAGTTTTGAAAATATACATTTTAAAACTGAGTAAAACTTACTTTATTTTTTTTTAATATCTAATTGTAGAAAACAATTTTACACTAGAGACTTAAGTATACTTGATTATATGAGAGAGAGAAAGGATTGGTGTACGGAATAAATTCCAATAACCAACGAATACTATTCTTAAAATGCTCAATACAGAGTAGAGCGAATATAATTATTTATTTGAAAATTATAACATAAATGTTATAAAATCACTACAAAAATAACGATTTTATTTCAACACTTCTGGTGTCTTATCAAGTGATGGTGTTGAATGTAGAATAAAGAGTTTTAAAAGGTTCAAATCAATTAACCACACCTCACAAGGGGAAACGCTGTTAAATAAGCTGGAATGACCAATCAAAATACAAGTATACGAGAATTCAAAAAACTTGACAACGAACTAAGGTTATAATAACTATTTAATGCCTTAATGTTGGGGTTAGACTAAAATAGAATTTATTCTAACTAATAAGTATTAAATTATACGATAAAATTTGAAATAAAAAATTAAAATTACCCATTTTAAAAATTAATCTCTATGAAGTTTAAAATTATAAAATTACTGAGAAAAATACATGTTAATTATTGTTATTGTTATTTATTTTCTTTTTAATGATATTAATTTGGAATAAACGTTAAGATCAAATTTTTTTTAGAGCTTCATGACAACATTGATACATTTGAATTCTAAATATAGGTAGGGGAGTATGACATCTTGCAAAAGACAATACATACACAATCAGATTATAATACATAAGCACGCAGACGTACACACACAAAAAAAGTGACGAGACAGGAAATATCTCTACGACCCTTTACAAAAAATTTTTTTAAAAAATACATACACACACAATGAAAGGAGCCTCCAAGTTACCATCCACACAGACACCGATAAAGATACGTGCATACACCCATATACATTGACATAGACATTCCGTTACAACAACCAAGAAATATTTAAGATTGAAAGTATATATATTATTTATTTAAAAAAAAAAAAAAAAATGATTCCAACTCGTGACATAAGAGGTCTCATGTTTCAAAACAAGAGCCGAAAACTTCAATATAATTATTTCAATTAAATTGAGTTAAAGTGAGTTCTGTTCCATCTTCAAGCGAATATTATTTTTAAATAAATATTTTTAAATAATTATATTTATGCTCTACTTTTATATCGAGCACTATTTTTAAAAAAATAATAGCTAAAATACGAAGGAACTTTGCATTATTTACCTAACCAGTTCCTTCCTATTTTCTATATATTTTCACATATATATATATATATATATATATATATATATATACATACACACACACACACACACAGTAATTTTGGGGTTTTTGAATAATTTTCCATAATAATTTATCATGTCCAGACCTAAAAACTTCAACAGAATGCAGAAAAGTACTGGCTGGCTTTTTCACCCTATTTTTGGGACTCATCATCAGTGTGCATCCACTCCTGAGAATTGAACCCGGACCATTACGATACAATACAAGCATCATACCATTGGGACTGGTGTTTCTCTTGGGGCCTGTCCTGTGGGTTATGTATACTTGGATAAATATCACCACCGGAAATAGGATTAGCTATGCTATATTGTGTCTAGTTACTTAGTCACCGTGGCCCACAGATTGGAGCCAACATTCCTTTAATCTTTCTTAAGTCACATAATGCTCCTTTTAAAAGCTTTATTTATACAAGAAAGAAAAGTTATATTTAGAGAAGGTAATGAAGTTATTGAAGCTTCTCACTCTGGAATTATGGATGGCTGACAATATTACTTCACAAAATAAACAATCCAATATAACGGAAATCATAATATTACTTGGCAGCGAGGGAAGAGAAAATAAATTTGGGAGTAATCTCTTTATATTTTCGATTATATAAAAAGTAAAGAGTGCATGGCCAACTGGTTAGAAAGTTAATGTTCTGATCATGAGACGTAGGTTTATATCTAACCACGGTTGATTTGTTAAGACGGAGGACATCAACCTAGGAATTTGTTTCTGGTTTACAGCATCGAGAAATGCTGAGAAATCATATAGGTTATCCTATATCTTGTGATTGAAAATGAGTAGACAAAATTGTTGATGAATGTACCAGCACAAAGCTATAAGCCATTGTGACTGAGGGTTTGCTCAAAATGGTGATCAGCCTAGATTATGCACTCTCTCCCAGAAACTAGAAGACAGACACTGAAATAAGCAATCAGCCATATCAAATATATATATATATATATATATATATATATATATATATATATATATATATATATATATATATATTTAGTTTAGAGCTCAATGTAAATTCAGAGCAAATATGTTTGAATAAAAACAGATCACTTTAAGGTTCCATGTAATAAGTTATTTCACCACAACCCTTTTAAAAGGCTCTG